TGTATATAATCATTGGTACTCAGGCTATCTCATCCATCTAGAGGCAAAAATCCTAAAAAAAATCAATACAAACGCAAAAGGTAACATTGCAAAATGACCACATAATCTAATAAAGGAATTACTGAGAATGAAAAGAGAATCTCTGGAGAATTAGCCCAGATTGATACCTTACCAGTTACTACACATCTTTTGCTACTTTGATGTAGCAGTAATGTGCAGACTGCAACAGCAAGTTCTTCTACCAGCTGAATAATAATAATTTAATTTGGCACAGTATCTCCCGCAGGTATGTGCATGCAAGAGAAAGCTGTAGAAGCTCAAGACTATAGACGTGGCTAAGAAGATGAGTAGAATTTCAATAATAGGGCAGACCAGCAGGATTTCAGAAAAATATTATTATTAATGTACAAGAGGAATCAGGTAGTTGTTGAAACCCACAAACTGTTACACAGGCATGTTACCAAAGTTTAGAGATGTTGTGAAAGCCCTAGGAAGACTTGTATGGTTGTTCTTTGAGACAAAATAGCAAAAAGCAGAGTATTGCATTGGTTCTGTAAGAGGTAAAAAGCCTGGTGTCATGTCTTTCCAGCCCTTTCCAACCTTCCACTTTTGACAGTGTGTGGCTCCTGATGACTTTTCTTAGCCCCCTCAGTTCACAACTCTTGGTATTAAGATGGAGTGCCATGACACCATATCCTGTGAAAAAAATTCTTCCTGTTCTCTTTTGTCAATATCATGAGACAAGTTCCTAAAAAATATTTCTGGCTTTACCCCTAGTTGGGGCAGTGGTTTTAGGACTTTGACAACATGAGGTGGAATTCCAGTGTTGGGGACAATGCTGCTAGCAAATATATTCTTATTTGCACCAAAGTCCAGGTGAATTTTCTAAAATTTCCAGTTTGAACGGATATTGGATCAGTTGGTGGAATGAATGGAGATTTTATCATAGGTTCCTAGCAATGTTCTCCTCCGATACAGGCTTTACTTGCTCCACAAGTTGCGCCGGTTTTGGTTATGAGTGTGATCTTCTAAAGCTTCTATGTTCCTATGATCCCTTTCAACCATTGACCTCTCTCAATTGTGTGTGTGAGAGAATGAGTGAGTTTGAAAATGTGAGAGGGATTGCAAGTAAGAGACTTGACTTTTTACAACACAATTGCTGAAGAAACTCAGCAGGTCTGGCAGCATCTGTGGAGAGAAAGCAGAGTTAAAGTATCGGGCTAACTAACAGCAGCGAGGAAAAGGTGGAAAGAAATCTACTCAGAATTATAGATTGTAATTGTTCAAGCTTTTTATAGTATCTCTTATTTCACTATTGTTCATTTTGGGGGGTCAAATGATCAATACAGAGGAAATCATATAATCATTGATTTGGAAATTATATGGCTAACACATTTGCTTAGAGCACCTCAAAATTTGGCACAATACTTCTGTCCTTTCCAGACAAATGTCTAATTCACTTTCAAACGCTTTGATTGATAGATTGCACACAAATCCCACTGATTGGCCCATATTATAAAGTTGCTGAGTTAATCAACAGAAAAGGACTCCATTCCATCAATGTAGAAGTCACCTGTGATCATCATGGCACGGGCAGCATAGTGGCTCAGTGGTTAGCACAGCTGCCTCACAGCATCAGGGACCTGGGTTTGATTCCACCCTCTGGTGACTGTCTGTGTGGAGTTTGCATATTCTCCTCATGTCTGCATGGGTTTCCTCCAAGTGCTCCATTTTCCTCCTACAGTTCCAAGATGTGCAGGCTAGGTGGATTGGCCATGCTAAATTGCCCATACTGTTCTGGGATGTGTGGGTTATAGGGGGGTGGGTCTGGGTGGGATGCTATGAGGGTCAGTGTGGACTTGTTGGGCCAAAGGGCCTGTTTCCACACTGTAGGGATTCCATTAAAAAAAAATCAGTACTCCACCTCAGAAACCTGCACCAGACTCCTTGAGTACTTTCATGTTCCTGCTGGTTTTGAGGGGCCAGACGCTTTGCAAGGCTGGATAGTATGGGACAGTGGCTGATGACTCTGCTACACAACACCCCCTAAGTGAGGTACAGCACAGATACAATGCAGCCCATTGTTTGACTGGGGCCATCCTGGAGAAGATGATTAGACTGCTGAAGATGAGATACCGCTGTTTGGTTCAGTCCAGGAGGCCTTATATACAGTCTGAACAGTGTGCGCCACATTATCCTGACATACTGTGTTCTGCACAACTGGAGCAGGCAAACAGGGGATATGATAGAGGCTGATGAGTTAGGAGAGGCTGATGAGTTAGGAGAGTGGTAACAGTCTTCCAAGGAGGAAGATGAGGACATTGAGCAAGAGGAACATCACTTTCTCCATAGACGAGTACAACAGTGTGAAGCTCTGAAGAAGGGTCTCGGCCCGAAACATCAGCCTTCCTGCTTCTCTGATGCTGCTTGGCCTGCTGTGTTCATCCAGCTGTACACCTTGTTATCTTAGTGTCAAGCACCACAAGTTTGACACCCAGTTCAGTAGATGACAGCAGGGTGCAGTAGTCACTCATTGTCTGTGAAATTGTTGGTGCTAAAAAGACAAGCAATCTGTTTCTGTTCCCAGAGGCAAATGTAGCTTCTATTCGATTTTTGCTCGCTTTTGCTGTTGGTAAATAAGAGTGACTACTTTGTAGCTTTTGAAGGTTTTCTTGTATGTGATGGCCCCATATTGAACAATCAGAAGATGTTGAGCTTCACTGGGCATCAGGGAGAGAATAGCAGTCACTTAGACAGTGTTGTAAGATGGGGCGTGGCTAAGGACAGATAAGCTGTGGGACTTGGTGCTTAAATGGCGATAGATGGAGGAATGTGCAGTTTCATGTGCAATGAAGTGTCATGTGTGCCATCAATGTGCCATAAGAACTGCTAGTTTGTGGTTACTGTCCCACCACGTGGACATTGAGGGGCAGCTTGGAGTCAGTACTTGACTGGGGGAATGGTTGGGGTTCAAAGATGATGCCAGGGACACCAGGATATCCTGAGAATGGTGAGATCTTCCACCTATGTCAAGTGAGAGAATCAGACGAGTGGAGCACCACAGGAGCATTACAGATGGTTAATGAAGCAAATTTGGGATAATAGCCTGATAAAACACACTGAGCCACATGGAGAGAAACCCCATCCACCCTTAAAACTTGACAAAAATGATACTTAGCTGATTTCTGGTATGGTTCAGCCCACCTTGAACATTGCCACATCAGGCAAAACACCCTATTGTAGGTAAACAGACTTTCAGGTCCACTCCTGAGTTGCTGTGAAGCAATGGACCCAGAGTCTGCATCACAATTTATTCTCATCCCTGGTTGTAGTAGTTCCCCTTGAAGACTGCTCACACCACTCAGTCCTGACTCTCTCAAGGTAAATGCAGGACCCAGGTCCTGGGCCTGAATTTATTCTCTCAACCCTTGCCGATACCCCTCCAAGTCTACTACTGACTCTGTCTCAATCACTCTCTGTGTGAAGTATTTCCTGACAATTCTAGAGTGAACTTTTACTAGTTTCAACATTTTACTTCATCATGAACAATCTTACACTATCTTTCACATATCACTTTGGCACCTTGACAAGCTGAGCATGACTACCCCTTTAGTCATTTTCTCATGAATCAAGAGTTCTGGGCCTTCTCTAAACAGAGGTCCATAATGTTTGATCACTATCTCTTCTGGCTTAAACATGCTGTTTGACTACATTGTTCAATATCATATTGGTTTTGTTGATTGCTGCACTCCATTTATAGACATTTTCAGCATATTCAGGCCCCTCAATCTTTATCAAATTCATTCTTAGCTATTTCAACACCACTCATGAAGTATGCATGTCAGAACATTTTTAATCTGTATCCAAAATCTTAAACGCCTTCAGTAAATTTCTTTAGTCATTGGTCTGCACAATTTCATATTATTCTTTCAAACTGTCCCTTCCAGTTTTACAACAGTAAGGCATCTGCAAATCTTACCGTTTTCTATATAACTCCTGAATGTATAAATTTTGAAAGTAGTGAATCCAAAATTGATCTCCGTGGCAGCCTACTCACTATTACTTCCGCATCCACTTTGAGAAAATTCCTCAAACAAACGTTTGTTGCTTGCTACCATTCAGTCAGTTTCTTATCCATTGCCAAGATTTATCCTGAATCAAAGAGACTTTTGATAAAGTTACACATCAAACATTATCAATTGATTGTCTTTTATGTGGAAGTTTAACAAAAAGCATTTTGAGAGTCAACATCATTGAATTTCCCACTGTTGGTTATCACATCCCGAAAGAACTGGAGGAGGTTATTCAGTGAGAAACCCTTCTGAATTCATAATAAGCACAGTTTACTAGACTGCAATTGTGCGGATGATTTTTAAATTTTCACAATTATCAATTCCAGTACTTGATGCAGATTTAAATGACTATTATGTCTGACATTTGGGCTTTTGTTTTGTCACCTTATTTTAATATGGACACCATATTAACCTATTTGCAACCTCTGCGTGCAGTTCCATTCACAGTCATGAACTTCCTGTACCCCAAGTGTACTCTCTAAATCCTTCCAGCTCTCTTTCCTTTTCCTCTTTGACAAAGTTTTTCATCATCTGCTGTAATATCTTCTTATATGACTCAATACCTCATTCTGATCCATAATGCTGATGTGAAGCATTTTGGGAAGGTTAATTATATTGAAAGTACAGAATAAATACAAGACTGTATTAAGTGTTTCATGTGTATTTTACTGAAATGTCTTTGAGCCTCCTACCTAAATCTAATTGTTTTCTCTCAGATCATCTTATTCTATCCCTGGTATATTCTAGGGTGGTGTGATTTTTCATCTTACCTATACTATTTTATTTCACAAATAACAAGAAACATATTTTGTTAGCTGTGCTGTCCTAAACACACACAGTCAAAATTCAGCCATGCATTATATTTTGTAGCTACAGGTAAGAAATTGATCTGCGCAATTTTCAAGCAACAAATTTTATTTAGTGCCTTTAAAATAATAAAATATTCCAAAGTTTGTAACAAGTGCATTAGAAAGCAAAATTTGTTATCAAGACACATTTCGTGTCACTAAGGCAGGTGGCCATAAAATCAGTGTCTCACCCTGAATCCCTTAAAACTATGCTCAGCGTGTCCCACCACCACAATGTCAGTGTCAGAAGAGAACTGCATTAGTACATTGATGGTCAGAGATTAAAGCCACCATACTTGAAAGAGACTCTAAATAGGACTTGTCCCATCATTTACTCTATAACTGAATACTGTACACCTGTCTGCCATAGGTCATCATGCAGGCATTTTGTTGACACTCAAGTGATTGTAATAATGCACATTATAGCCAAACCCTTCCCTTGATTCCTGTCCTCACAAATATCATTGCCCAAAAGATCTGCCAACTGACAGAAATTCACAAGCTGGTTTAGACGACTTGTACTGCACCCCATTTACCATGCCATGACGACCTGTTCAATCCACCTACTGCCAAGTGTCCATCTTGACATCCCATGTGCAGCCACCTTCCAAAGCAAGATGGACAGACAATATCCTGTGGATTAGAACTGGAAATGTGGGAGGTCACTCACAAATTCTTTGTGGCAAACCTCACCAGGTTTTGAACTACCAAGGTGAGAGTGGTCCTTATGAAATAGGTTCCAGGGCAAGCCAGGATCCCTGTGCAGACACCTCCGAGACCGGAGTACAATCCTCTTATACTCTTGTGGAGAAACACAAACAATGTTGCATATTTATGAAAAACACTTCTACAGATTAAGTAGCAGACAAACTGCCTTAAACTGAGCAGAGGAGGAGGCCATCATTTAACTTTGGGGATTTGCATTTGGTAAATAATAATAAGGCAGATGGCCAACAAACTAGACAAGAATGCACATTTTAATTATCATCCTGATGGAAGATATAAAGGTCTAGAGGCTTCTTTCAGGAAGGAATTCCAAGACCTCGGGTGGAAGCAGTTGAAGGCACAAACACCAATAACGGAACAATTAAAATCATTGATGCTCAAGGGATCAGAATTAAAGGAGCACAATATCTTGCAGGGTTGTGGGGTCAAAGTAGGAGAAGGCCATAGACGATTTCAAAACAAGGGTGTGAATTTCAAAATCAAAGTGTCACTTGACCAGGGACCAATCTGCACTGGGATAATGGGTGAATGTTGCAGGTTGAGCCTGCAACAGGAGCTGGTAGCCTAAGACATGCCTGAAATTAGACCCCAGGCCTCACTGCTGTAATCGCAGTGAGCTGCGAGCACTCAACACATTTTCAGAGGTTTCTCTGTCCTAGGAAAGGCATTGTGAATTGATGGGCAGAACAGTATAACTGGGAATAGAAGACAAATATGTGTAGTAGAAACTGGCAGTTTTTTTTTATCCCCTTTTGGCAGTTTCTTTGAATTTTCCACTGTGGGTTCCCATCAATAGCTTTCTCCTTATTCACTTGTGGCTCATGTGTTTCAAAATGGCGGCGGATTGGGACTCCTCAGCTGGAGCTCATTCGCTCCAACCATTTCTTCTCTTTTTTGAGGTGAAGCCTGGTGCAGTCTGGAGGTGACACCTGGCTCAGATTGGAAGCTAGGTGCCAGTGAAGACTGGGTTGGAGGGACTGTTATCTGAACTTTTCATTTCTTTACTTTTCTAATTTTTTTCTGAAGAATTTGTACTGAAGAATCTATACCTAGGTACCTTTGTATCTAAGATGGCGACATAAATGGCAGCTTGCAAACATTTCACTGTACTCATGTGAGTACATGTGACCATAAAGCTAATTCTAATTCTAATTCTGTTTTGTCCTTTCCACAAAAATATTTTGGGCTTTAGAATGCAGATCCTCAATGCCAGACTTATTTTGAACTCCTATATTTCATGGCTTGTCTGAGCCATGTATGAGAATGCAAGGAAGGTTAATTTGATTTAATTTGATTTATTTATTGCCATGTTCATTTTGTTACAAAATACAGTGAAAAGTGTTGTATAGTGTCGCCACTCTCCGGGACAATCTTAAAACACAGAAAAATAAACCAAAACATAGACTATAAAAGTAGAAAATTAAAAAAATAAAGAAAGATTGAAGAAGTCCAATGGGATCTGCATGAAGGTACAGTCGGAATGTGTTTCCATTAGCAGACTGTGATATTCCCACTGTTCCCCTCCAAGCCACTCATCACCCAAACTTAGAAACGTATCGCTGTTCTTTCAGTGTTGCTGGGTCAAGATCCTGAAACTTCCTCCCTAATGGCATTGTGGGTCTACCCTAAAGAAAATGGATTGCTATGGTTCACAAAAGCAGCTCACCCATCTTCTGAAGGGCAAATAGGAAGAGACAATAAATGCTGGTCCAGTGACCTCCACCCACGTCCTATGAATAGATTTTTAAGAACTAATATTTCTGGCAGATGCCCTTCACTTTACAGTTGAGATTGTGCCACATCTCCTGCCCAGGCTCCAGAGCCCTATCATATTGCCCAATGAGAAAGTACATCACAGATATATGTTCATATGTTAGCTGGATATGGTGCTTTAATTGATCTTTATTATTTATTCACTCATGGGATGAGGGTGTCGCTGGCTAGGCAGCATTTATTGCCCATCCCTAATTACCTAGAGGGCAGTTAAGAGTCAATCACATTGCTGTGGGTCTGGAGTCACATGTAGTCCAGACCAGGTAAGGATGGCAGTTTCCTTCCCTAAAGGGCATTAGTGAACCAGGTGGCTTTTTCCAACAATCGACAATGGATTCACAGTCATCATTGGACTCTTAATTCCAGATATTTATTGAATTCAAATTCCACTGACTGCCATGGTGGGATTCGAACCCAGGTTCCCAGGACATTATCTGGGTCTCTGGACTAACAGTCCAGCAATAATACCACTAGGCCATCACCTTCCCTACAATCTACTTTGTTATTTCATTCATATATAATTAACTTAATTATAATTAATGGTATGTGAAGCAATATTTGTTGATTTAAGAGATACTTACCCATACACAATTTTATTTGCTCATTTCAGCAGTTATATCCCATATTCTATTTAAGCTTCAAAGATTCCAATCACCTCAGCAACTACCCATTCCAAACAATAATAATTAAAATAAAGAAATGGGATTCAGGCCTTGTCCTGACACCTACACACTACATGCTTTGGTTGACAGCATGGAATCACAGATGGATCATGTGAATAATCAGCCAAGGAGATGTTATCTGTAGAGATGTCTAAGAGGACGTTATTAAGCGTCACTTTTATCTGTGGCAACACAGCACGGTATTCTGGAGTAGCAGGATCTAGAGGTAGGAATTCAGCAGTATCGTTCAACAGGTTGAATATCAAAGGTGGGTCATGTTGTTGTTCTGGTCCTTCCTTACCTTTACAAGCTCTGGCACCACCTAAAACCATAACAAAACAATCCATTGTGAGTGTTCAGCCTCAATTCTGTTTTCCAGTTCTGCTGGAATTTAACACCGTATTCAAAAACCACTACATTGGAACAAAGCTTATGATGACAACTTCACAAATCCGCTGTCCCTGACCCAACATTTCTTCAAAGCCAGTGGTCAAACTTATCAAGTATTTAATTGCATGAGTTGATCAAGTGAAGATTTCTGAAGCTGCTTATGTGGAGCAGGATGTTGACACATTGCCTTAATCTGCAGTACATAAGAAGTCAGCACAATGGGACTGGGGGTTGGAACAGTGAGCCATCATGGTTTGATTTTCTATGCTCTCAATTAATGAGGATGCATGAATGTCCCAATCTCCATGAGGCTTCATGAAAATCAGGATTAACCACCTCAACCAATATGGAAAACGATAGGAGTGTTGGAATTATTGACATGCAATTATTAAGTCCTGAAAGGAAAGAGTTGGAATGAGGCTGTACCTCCCTTCCATCTCAGTGCTGTGGTTAGTAGTTTTCAAAACTATGAATTCATGTTTTTTAAAAAATACGCTTAGACAAAAGGAACCTCTGTGTACAGAAAATAACCTAAGCATTCAAAATATAACAGACAGCACATATTAAAACATGTTAAAAAGTTGCTAATCATTTTAAAGATCTACTACAACTTTGTTTATAATCAGCACACCTGTCTGCTACATGTGCTATTGCATTATCAATAAATAATATTTAGCTGTCTATAACCATATAATGAACTAATATAAAAATGGTACATTTACTGAATGTGTGGGCTTTTCTGTACCTGTGAGGTAGAAAGCCTTATACTGCTTCAGACGAATAGTCTGCAAATTCCCAAATCGTCCAGCTGCTCCACTGTTTGGGTGGAAAAGCGCCTGGAATATCACAGAGTCAAGAGGTCATTACATATTTATGCAGTTCAATGTCTAAACTAAATTAGGAATTAGAGAAGGTGGCTTGCTCTCATTGCCAATTACCGTACCAGGTCAAACAAAAGGAGAACTTCAACAAATAATGATACAATGCAATCAGAACATGAACATAAGAAATAGGAGCAGTAGTACATCATTCAGCCCTTTGTATGCACTCCACCATCCAATGAGATCATGGCCGATCTTTCACTTCAACACTATTTTGCTGAAATATCCCTCGATGTTTTTAAAATGTAGTATCTATTGATCTGAGTCTTGAACATATTCAATGACTGAACCTCCATAACTTTCTGGAGCAGAGAATTCCAAGGATTCATCCCCTTCCACATGAATAAATCCCCTCTCGTCTCAGTCCTAATAGCCTGCCCGTTATTCTGAGACTGTATGCCCTAGTTTTAGACACCTGGCCAAGGAAACACCTACTCTGTCGAGTCCTGTCAGAATTTTGCATGTTCATTAGGATTACTTCTCATTCTTCTTATTTCCAGAGAATAACAGTCCAGTGGGTTTAATACTTCCCCGTAGGAAATCCCTCCATTCCAGAAATTAGTTGTTGAATCTTTGTTGCATTCCCTCAATGGCAAATATATCTTTGGAGAGGAAACCCAAAACTGCATATTATATTCCAAACGTGAAATCATTAAGGCTGTATACAGTTGCAGTAAAAAAAACTTCACTCCGATATTCAAATCCTCACACCATTTGCCTTTTAAAGTGCTTGCTGTAATTGCAAGTTAACTTTCAGTGACTAATATTTTGCCCACTCAGCCTCCTTAGATCTCCTTCAAACTTCTTTGAATCCTCCTCACAACTCACACTTCTACCTAGTTTTGTGTCATCTGCAAACTTGGAAATATTACATTTAATTCCCACAGCCAAATCACTGACATAGATTGCGAATAGCTAGAGCCTAAGTACTCAACGTTGCGGTATGCCGCTACCAAACTGAAAATGATCCATTCATTCCCACTGTCTGTTTTCTGTCCATTAAGCATTCTCAGTTCATGCCAGTATATTCCCTCAGTCCAATGTGCTGTAATTTTATTTTTTTTTTCCTTTATTCATTCACAGGATGAGGGCATCGCTGGCTAGGCAGCATTTATTGCCCATCCCTAATTGCCCAGAGGACGGTTAAGAATCAACCACATTGCTGTAGGTCTGGAGTCACATGTAGGCCAGACCAGGTAAGGATGGCAGTTTCCTTTCTTAAGGGACATTAGTGAACCAGATGGGTTTTTCCGACAATCGATTCATGGTCATCATTAGACTCTTAATTGCAGATAATTATCGAATTCAAATTCCACCATCTGCTGTGGCGGGATTCGAACCCAGGTCCCCAGAACTTCACCTGGGTCTCTGGATTAACGGTCCAGCGATAATAGCACTAGGCCATCACCTCCCCATTATTAACCTCTTGTATGGAAACTTATCAAAGGTTCTCTTAAAAGCTAAATATATCACACCCACCAATTACCCCTAACTATTTTGCTAGTTAGGTCCTCAAAAATACACCAACAGTCTTATTAAACATGATTTTCCATTAATAAACCCACATTGACTCGGTCCAATAGTCACCATTATTTTCTAAGTGTCCTATAACCACATCCTTTATTATGGATTCCAGCATTTTCCCTATGACTGGTATTAAGCAACCAGGTCTCTAATTCTTTGCTTTCCCTCTCCCTCCTTTTGTAAATATTGGAGTTTTATTTGCTACTTTTTAATCTGCAGGAACTATTCCAGAATCTACAGAGTTTTGACGAATGACCACCAATGCATCCACAATCTCTACAGCTATCTTTTTCAACACTGTGATCATTAGGTTCAGGGGATTTATCTGTTTGGAATCCCATTAATTTCTCTAGTACTATTTTTTAACTGATACTAGTGTCTTGCAGTTCCCTGTTTGTACTAGTTCCTGATTTTCCATTATTTCTGCAAGGTTTTTAGCATTTTCCTCTGTGAGGATAACCACATTTCTGTAGTTTCTCTGTCATTTCGTTCCCCATTAGATGGGGCTGGACAATTTTGCCTTTCATGTTACTGCTCTGATTACATTTTAAAAATACCAAGTCACAAAGATGCTTCGGAGAATCTTTCCTGTTTCATTTGGGCGCCATAAGACACTGTGCATTAAATGGACTTGCAATTTATTGATCGTTGTTTTATCAGATACACTATTTAATGCTGTTCACAGCCCCATTACACTCACCTCCCAAATGTTCCCATAACCATTTCCTGTTCTATTACTTACACTTCCAAAACCTTCCCCCAAACACAATACTTCACCAGTGTCGTAAACACACAATACGTTACCAATCTGCTAGAGCTAACTACAAAGGAGTCTGCCCACTGTCTGTCACAGGGAAGCCCACTGCAAGGATTCTGTTCAACACTCTACTGCCAGTGGCCAAGAACCTCCTTCCAGATTCACAGTGCAGTTTTGCCCATTGATAGGCACAGACACAAAACCTGGCTATGCACAAAATTCAACAGAACGTTAGGAACAATGCCAACTGTTGTGAAATGCTGTTACATAGATTTCAAGGAAGGCTTTGACTGTCAACCATGAAGCCTTGTAGAGTATCTTCAACAAGTTTGGCTGCTCTCAAAAACTGTCACCATCCTCCAACTACTCCATGATGCAATACAAGAAAACCGTCACAAATGACAAGATCCTGGAAATTGTGGACCATTTTCATCACCTTTGAGCCTCCAGCTGAAATAAGGAAAAGAGATTTTGAGAATAAAGATCACAAATCAGAGACTAAAGGCAGCACAGTGGCTCAGTGGTTAGCACTGCTGCCTCACAGTGCCAGGAACCCAAGTTCAATTCCACCCTCAGGTGACTGTCTGTGTGGAGTTTGCACGTTCTCCCTGTGTCTGCGTGGGTTTCCTCCAGGTGCTCCGGTTTCCTCCCACAGTCCAAAGATGTGCAGACTAGGTGGATTGGCCGTGCTAAATTGCCCATAGTGTTCAGGGATGTGTAGATTAGGTGGGTTATAGGGGGAATGGGTCTGGGTGGGATGCTCTGAGGGTTGGTGTGGACTTGTTGGGCCGAAGGGCCTGTTTCCACACTGTAGGGGTTCTATAAAGTCATGACATACTGGGCTTCTGTGCTCCTCTATGCCTCTGACTTTGGCAATCCATAGCAGACACCTCAAATCGCTGGTGAAGCACCCCAGAGGTGCTTTTGCAAGATCCTTCAAATTTGTTGGCAAGAAAGATAAAAATAGCAGTGTCCTCTGCTAAGTTCACCTGCCTTGCACTGAGGCACTAATTATTGTTCAAAATGAGTTCTGCTGTGTGGGACATTTTAATTGGATGCTTGATGGCAGACTACCAAAGCAATTGTTCTGTTCAGAGCTAGGTTTGTTGGGAGTGGGGCTCTAAGGAAATGAACCAAAACGTTTTAGGCATATCCTCAAAGCATCCAGAAGAGGCACCATGATGGCTCAGCGGTTAGCACTGTTGCCTCACAGTATCAGGGACCTGGGTTCGGTTCCAACCTTGGGTGACTGCCTGTGTGGAGTCTGCATGTTCTCCCTGTGTCTGTGTGAGTTTCCACCAGGTGCTCCGGTTTCCTTCCGCAATCCAAAGATGTCTGGGTTAGGTGGATTGGCCATGCTAAATTGCCCCATAGTGCCCAGGGATGTGCAGGTTAGGTAGATAAATCATGGTAAATACAGGGTTACAGGGACAGAATGGGGGTCTGGATGGGATGCTCTTCAGTGGGTTAGTGCAAACTCAATGGGCCAAATGGCCTCTTTCCACACTGTAGGGATTCTATGATTAAGAGGTCTGACATACTCGTTGACTCATGGGAGATCCTTGTTTGTGACTGACCAAATGGAAAAGGTTCATTTGGAAGTCACCAAATACATGCAGAGACTTTGTCAGGAATATTCAGAGGTGCCACTGAAGAATTGAAGGGAGCTCACAAACCTCTAAAAAAAACACATCTACCCAACCGCTCAAGCACCACAAACCCCAAATGGGACAAATCACACAATGGACTTCTCAGCAGTTTCAGAACCTGTCAAACGAGTCATTCTTGATTCTGAGTAAGAAAGATAAATTGGTTAATTGTTGCCACTCTTCTAAGTATGAGAAATACAATGTAGATTTTCTGGCATTTAATAGAAGTTAATAGTGGAGAAGTTAAAGAAATGCTTAATTCCTGAGATGCCATTACAGCAGTTGACATTTCAAATATGATGATTGCATAATGTTTATTAGCAGTTCCAGCAGCTTAATGGGGGAGAATTTACTTAATTCAAACAGAAAATGTCAACGACTGGTTTGGACATTTCACATGCTATTGTTATAAACAGTGAACAACACCATAATCAGAACTGGGAACGAGATCTCTACATGCAATGTACTTCTTAAGGAAAACAACTAAAAATTGATGCTAATTATAACTTGCTGACATATCAATGGGATGGGACCTGAGGCTGTTTCCGTGCTGCATTTGACAACGCAAGACAAAGCACTATTTTTGCTTTGTTTTGATTAATTTCTTTATTTAGACAGACGGGATGTGTACCAGTTAATGATGAATTACATCAAATGGATCAGCTAAGTAACGTCAGGCTGTATAATTTACATGCTCCTGAGCAAATTGTACTGACTACATTGTGAATGATTTTATGAACCTTCACTATATGGTCATGTACATGCCAAATTCTGATCGTACCGTACATCCTGACTTTTAAAAAGATTTTTGAAGTTTCAAAATGGAATTAGGTGCAGTGTGCACACAACAGTACAAGAATCATGGAATGTTTCTGGTATATTACATATTCCAGTTATGTGGTTGGGCAGATTAAGCTGACACATATTTTGGAAACGTCAGTCCTGAAACGTATTTCATGATAAGTTTAGACAGCAGTGTGTATATGAATGCTCCTCTCAACGCTGCTATGTTTACAGTACAGCAT